ATATTGATAAACAACAGGGGTTTTTTTTTTTTTTTTTTTTTTTTTTTTTTTGTTTTTTTTTGTTTTTTGTTTTTGTCAGCTATTTGATTAGTCATCCCAGACAGCTGCTCCTATGAAATGTGAAAGGCATCATTATAGAGAAGCTTGCATGAGCAAAGCTAGCTGGTAATTAGAAGTCACAACCATTACTGCATCCTCAAAATGGTTTTTACACTGGTAAATCATCAACTTCAATAGAGCTGCTCTTGATTTGCTTGAGGACATAAGGTGTATATTTGCAGGAAAGTATAGCAGATTTCTTGGTTATTTTTATACTCAAGATACTAGACTTTAAATATATTAACTACATCAAATTAAAAATGCCTCTAGCAAAAGTCTGAATAATGTCCCCATATAGGGACATTTTCGGTAAACTGGAAAGAAATGTCAACAAAATTTGTGTTTCTGGCAGGGGATAGTAACTGTCAGTTGCTAAAAAATAGTCTTATATCTTTAATAGAAAATAATTTTTTGACTCTTGAAACAAAAGATAAACATTTTTGCAAGGATACTAATTTCAACATTTGTAACGTATAAGTGTGCATTTTTCAAGGACAGTATAGAAATAAGCCTCTATATAAAGGTTTAAAATATCTGTTTCGAACACATTGTTTCAAACAGGCTATCAATTCACAGCCAGTTCAGTGAAACATATTCCTCTTAAATGAAATTTCCTGTGTACACAATCCAGTCATACCTCTGGGACAAGACACACACTCAGTAATTAATCACAACATTATTCAGCCCTTGTGGTATTTACCATCTTCCTCTAGGCAATGAACTCCAGAGCCAGAGAGATAAGTATCATACAGCAGCAGAAGAATAGAGAATAGTCTGGAGCCTGCAGAGGATATGAATGCATTTCCTTACAATGTTTCACTGCATTTCTATGCTTATAATATATATATTAAGGAAAAAAAAAAGAAGAAAGACTCTATTTAAATAAATAGAACAAGTATTCTATGTCATATTGACACCTGCCTCAGGTTTAATGGTGTATGCAAGATTTTTTCCTCTGCATACATTCAAACAGAAAGAGCATATGGAATTCATTTTTCGGAGCATTATATGAGGCTGAGATACATAATTTACCCCAATTCCAGACCAAGTAAGCCGCATGCACTTGGCACACTTGCTCTTCTGTTTTGTTTACTGGCATTTCTTGACTGTATCTAAAACTCACTGCAACGCCAGACCTGTATCCAAGGAACAAGTGGAGACGTACGCTGAGCTGGCACTCAGTGCACCAATCCCCAATCCCTCTGAGGTAGATGCAGAGTAGAAATTAGCCCCCTTTTCAGTAATAAGGCCTTTTAGCAGGATGCAAGGGGTCTGCCTCCCTTCTTAAGCTGCTGGAAGTCAGCATGAGTTCATATGAGCCACTGTACTTAATTTCACATTAGCGTGAATAGCTAATGGCACCTCATTCCCACCCAAATGGACATTATGACTGAAAGGAGATGCATATTTAGACTATCAGCACTGAGATCTACAGAGCAATCTCAGCATAAAGGATCCTGAAGTCAGACATCAGTTTTTGTAACTTCATATTCTTGCAGCAAACAGTGTATGAAATTTCGCTGTTGCTTACACTAGCATACATGCAGAATGTGGCTAACAAATTTTTGTAATTACTAGTGTATCAGTTAGAGAATTCAATTTATCCATTTTCATGAGAGAGAGGATTAAACCAAGTTTCTTGTTTTGAACAGCCCCATGTATTTGGGGATTAAAAGAGTGGGCATCCAGACACTAATTTTGCAATAGAGGTTCATTTGTAGATGATGGCAATGCATATAAGCACCTTTAAAATAAATGCACCAGTAACAAAACTTAAAGTAGTTGCATGCAAAAAATGGAAACTGGAGAGCCTCTCCAGCTGGTCTGCACACTTTCTGACCTGGTCTGTCACTGTGCTAACATTAGACCTCCTACACACCCTGAGCGCAACAGCAGCTTCTCAGGCATATGCAATGTAGCTGTGTAGCTCTAGTATTTGGGTCTCTGCATCAACTGTACACAGTGTTTGCAACTATGGGGTAGAGAAAAGCAAAGTCTGCTTGGAAAGCAGACCCTGTTGTGCTCGAGACAGGGTCATGCTGCAGTACTGGAGTTTCTGTGCAATCTGGGTTCTGACCTTCATTTTAAACCCTTATCATTGCATAAACCAGCTGTGCTCTGGCAGTTCTAGGGTGTAGCTCAACTTAAGCTAACAAAAGCTTTTAGATAACATTGCCTAAAGACTTCAGTCAACACTGTATCAGGGTGGATAGCTGGAGCTAAGAATGAACATTCTTAATACAATCAGTTGATTTGCAGAGTAAAGCAAATTATATTTCTTGCCTGGGGATTTGCAGTGTCCCTAAAGGGAGGAAATTCAGACCAAAAGGAAATTCTGAAACTAGAAGAAATCAAGTAAAATTTCACTCCAACTTATGATGCTTTTTTTCCTACAAGCGTTCTCTGACTATTCCATTAAAAATAGTCAGCTCACCCTCAATATATAACCTATGTAAATATATATATATCAATATATGTATATCAATATATATCATATATTGATATATATCATGTTTATATATACATCACTGATTCGGAAACTCTGTCAGTCGGAATGGCAGTAGACGTAGTTGGGTCTCAACCTTCAATTCCGTATGGTGACCACTCCCCATCTAGCAGGGACAAATCAGTGAATATGCTGAAACTGGTCACTTTGCCTAGAGGATAGAGTCTGCATGTAGAAACTGCAGATCATTTGCCTATTTCAAATACTATGATTTGAATCACATTTGAAATACTATAATAAAAAGTCTGAGAAAAATAATTAGCATTCCATAGTTTTGCACATTAACTAGTTCTTTCAGTTTAATGGCAGAAGTTTCCTGGCAGGACAAAGTATACATACTCTTTGAGACCTGTTCAGATACACCCCTACAGCAAGGGAGCTACTACAGCTTCTAAGTGGACTCAAGTCCCAAGTCTCAAACTATGAGCCAATCTCTGCAGCAAACAATTCCACCTGTCCTTTGTGCCAACAGGCAGCAGGTTTGGGCTTATAAGGTAGTTATGTGTTAAGTGAACAAATTCTACTCTCACAATGCTGCTAATCACAAACAGCACTACTGAAGTCAGTGAAAACAGTCAGTGTAGACCTGTGAATTTGTGTCTGTGATGAAATGTTGCATTCTGCAGAGACAGGCTTTTATTCATGATCCCAAGCAGGTGCCCGTCAAAGCAGGAAGGCCAACAGCTCTGCTATCTCTGGTAGAAACTTGGAAAAACAACAAGATGTCCATGACACTGGCTCTGATTCTGATTATACAAACAAGGAGAAGAGCATAGTTGCTTTAACTGCATGTGTGATGATTCTGCTGGTGCTCTTGTGCAGCATTTTTACTGCTTCCAAATTTACTTCAAGCAGATAAGATGCCTTGTTTGCTTAGGCCTATGTCTTGGGGATTTCTTTCAGCTCTCTGTTTGCCAGCTTCTGCAATTGGAAAGCTCTGCAGCCACTCACTTCATGCAATGCCAGGACCATCCCAGTCCTATGCTTCTGTTGAGATTAATATATCGCAAACTATCTGGTCTTCAATTAGTGTCACTGTTAATTATGCATGACTTAGCATTATTACACAGATTTGTTCCATGACAGTTAATGGTCTCACATTTTGGTTTTTTTTGAAGGTATGTGGAATATCTGCTTAGCTACTGTCCTTTACACTGTCAAAATATCCCTGTCCTCTAGGAACCAATAAAAACATATACTTAAATATATCCCATTTTTCATCTCAGTATTTTGGGGTAAAGGGGCAAGAAAAGGACTTGCTCAGCTTGCTTGGCTTGTTCATACTCAACCATGCCAATTACGGCAAAAAAAATGGCAACTGAATCCTTTGTTATCAATCTTACAATTGATTTTGTGTCACAGATTTATTATTCTTCAGGAGGACAGAGTCATTCCTTGGGAGGATTTCAGAACAGGATCACAGCTGCAACAAATCCAGGGAATGCCTCAATAACAATCTCCAACATGCAGCCCTCAGAAACTGGTTCTTACACCTGTGAAGTAGTCAATCTACAAGGAGATGCTGGACAAGGTCAAAAATCAATGATTGTCAATGTACTGGGTATGTGCTTTTCTTCTGTCTTGTGGCATTGCAGTTTCCTTGTTTTATTATAAAATACCAAATTCAAGCCTCAAAATATGTAGGACTGGAGAAATTAATACAGCTATGATGCACAAGACCCACAATGCAGAAAACTAAGTCCACAATGAGAAAATTTTCTCCAAAGGCTCTGATGGAAAACAGGGCTCATGGTGCCCTCTAGCTTCCTCACAAAGCAAACCCTACCTGATCTTAGCAATCACACCTGTTCGTCCTATGACAATCTATGTTTAGGTTCACTTTGATAACTCAAACAGCTACCTCATGTAAGTGCCTAGCTGGGACTACTCAACTTCACTAGGACACACACACACGAAGTGGCATTAAAGTGGCAGGTAATAGTCAAGACCTGCCATGTAACGGTATTAAACAGTGATTTCTAATTCTCTGTACCACACTGAGTAGTCAAAACTTCTCTTCTGACATTCAACATCACAAATTGGTATCTGATTGAAAAGTCCCAGCTGGGAGCACCAGTTACTCTCTGGAGCCATTACATCTAGCATAGCCCAACCTCAGCAAAAACCAAAATTACTGACACCTGCATGAAGATCACAGTAAATATAGGGAGAGTCTGCAGTACAGTCCAAGAGTCTGTCTCACTCTCACTTTCTAGAAACTGTAAAAGCTTAGTCTGTTTTAGAAGTGGTACAAAGTTGGGTGGAGAAAAAGCAGTAATTCAACCGTGAAAAGGTGAAACCAAATGTATGGAAAGAATGGAATCAAATATTTTACTTGCAAAATAAAAATGGATGTTTGTATTAACTCCATTCAATCACTGTATTTAAATAAAGAATTCATACCTGGTCAGAGTGACAGGTCAAAGGTGTATGAGGAAGTGATTCCAGTAGTATCCCTTGTCCATCTGCCAGGGATAAAAAAAAAAGATGTTGTAAATATACTCACTGAAAAGCCACATTGTCAAAACATAAATATTAATTCTCAGCTAAAATCCCCAAAAGAAGAGTGATTTTTGGAACAGTTAAGTAAAAGATTGTAATTTTCACACAAACGCCAAGAAAGGTTGTTCGCTCATACACACAAAACCGGTCATATTCACATCTGATATCATTACTGCAAGATATTGAAAAATCAGGCCTTGATCCTCTCTCTTTAGATGGAAAATACTCTGTATCTCTGAAGGAAGGCACTGCCACATATGTGGCAGAAAATGATCTATGATGAATTGTGATTGGCCCATTATAATTAAAGTAACTGTTAATCTTCCATCTAGCATTTCATCATTTACTATACAAATGCAAGAAAAGATAATAAAAATGTATTCTGGACCATAGTTATGTATGTATATGTATATATATGTATATTATACATACGTAAATATATTTATTCAGTATTTCTTAAACCTTTATGGAGAACATTTGGTCCAATCCACAAACAAGCCTCTGTTCTGAAATGGAACTCTGTAACTGGGGCTTAATTCTTTATTTATAGCAGCACAAGAACAGAAATCCATGTGGAAACCTGCAGCCTCCCTTGTGTTCTCATGATATCTATTCTCTTTCTTGTTATTTTACAGTGAAACCATCAAAACCTTTCTGCAAAGTAGAAGGCACTGCTGAGAAGGGCCATCAAATCTCTCTCTTGTGCAGCTGCGAGCAAGGAATGCCTCGGCCCACTTACCGCTGGTACAGATTAGATGAGAACACCCTCAAACCTGTGACTGAGCAATTTGGTATGTAACTAAGGACTACCAGCTAATAGTCAAGACCCGCAGCTTAATAGCATCAGCCATTGATTTCAAATTCTCTGTACCATATACTCTAGTTAACACTTCTCCTCTTTTGATGCTCAGTATCACTAATCACTATCTTCACTTACTCAAATTGCCTGACAGCTGTCATATAAACACAGGATTTAGAGGAGGTCTGTTCCACGCAGCATGTTAAAGTCTCATCCATAACATTACCTTAAATCATTAAAATGGTTATGCCTTTGCACATCCTTTCACTTGGGATTATGACTGCATTTATTCCAGAATAACTCAATTTCCCATACAAATGGCTGATCTTCATCCTGGAAATACTTCAGTACCTGATTACACTTTTATTTGTGAGTTTACATTGACAGTAATTCTAGTGTGGGGAAATTTCTAGTGTGGGGAAAACACCAGGCAGACATACATAATTGCAGGGTGTCTACTTTGCACGTTTTAATAAACGCATGAAAAAATCTCTGTAGTAACTTTTAAGAAAGTAAATTCCTTAAAGAATTTCAATTGAAATAATATAAAATTGAAAGAAATAGTCTTTTTTTATGTTCTTTCAATTGAAAACAAAGAAATGAATAATAGGAAATGTTTTAGCTTGTCCTGCTTTTCATCTTCTAACAGCCTTCAGTATTATTAACTAAAGAAAATCCATAGCCTCTACAGTGCACAAACAGTCACCATGTACATGTTCTCTGCTTGTCATAGACCCAAAAACCGGAGTTCTTTTCATTGGCAACCTCACCACCTTTGAAACAGGATATTACCACTGCATAGCCAGCAACTTCCTGGGGAACAGTAGCTGTGAGCTTGACCTGACTATAAAACGTAAGTCTCATGTGTGAAAGTAATGACCTATTTGATGTATGACACAAGCTGTTTGCCAAAAAAAAATGCTGCAACGCTTTAAAACATAGATTGTTTGAAATAAAAACTACCCAATGCCAATACTGTTCTTATCCAGCTGTGCCCAGGTTTCATCCTGACCTAGGCAACTCACTTAACACCTTCAGCTTCTTTTCTCACCAGCCAGTAGGAACTGAACCTTGCTATGACAGCAGAGGCCTTTAGGGGAAACTCACATATAGAGAATTTAGGGCAACTTATTCCAGCCAACAGTCCCAGTGGGTTCTCCCCATGGAGTTTTGGCATGGACATGTAACCACGGCAGCCACAAATGTGGCGTTTGTAGATCATAAAAGCACAATTCTCCCTCTCCTAAAGAATCCTTGGCTCCTCTTGGATTTTAGGCTTTTGTTCTTTGAACCTAGTGACTTGGTTGTGCTAACAACCTCTCTGCTAAATTCCCATGGCATTTTGCTACATTCATATCTTGGGGGGGTTTTATATAAATCAATTAATACTTCTTTTTCTTTCCAGATTCAGATGGTGGTATTGTTGCTGGAGCATTAATTGGAGCAATTGTGGCAGGTGTTATCATTTGTGCTATTGTCTGGTTCTTAACCAGGAGGGAAAAGAGAAAGAAAAAGAAGTCATCAAGTAATGAAATGCAGTAAGAATTTGTTTGCTTGATTTTAAGACATGAATTTCTGTAAAGCAATGATGGTAAACCAAAACTAAATTGAAATATATTTACTGTATATGCTTATGGAGGAGTAAGTAACATGGGATTTGATAAAATTTTGCAAGTATATTTATTTGTGTGTGACTGTAGCTTCTGCTATAAGTCCCTGTAGCTTCTTCTATAAGTCACACAAGAGAAGCTGCCATTGCCACTGGATTCATATTTACATGCAGTCCCCACTTAGCAATATCTACAATAGTAAATAAATGCTTTTAAACAACACAGTGAAAAAGTGACATCTTGGAAAAAGCAATGTTCAATATTTAAAAGTTAATAGTGACTATTAATGGCACACAGAGGAAGTAAAACAAAGACTGCAGCTAAAGGCTCACTCAGCAGTTATACTGGGATTGCACATGACTATTTAAATACAGAGACCTCAGTTCAGTGCTACAAGAAATACTACACGGTGTCCAGGACTGAACTGGCAGATGTGACAAAAGACATCGGACATGTGTGCTCTTCTAAAGCGGCAGCTGGAAGTCAGGTCTGATATCTTAAAACATCTCAAAAGGCAGGGGATACCAAGGTTTAGGAAACAGAACGGAGCCAGAATGTCCACTGTGATCCTGCTCTGGCAAAGTGACCTCCTCCATGCTTTGCTTGCTCGCTTATCTTTTAAATCGCCACATCATCAGGACAGGGATAATCTCATATGCTGCACACGACAGATTTACCCTCATGATGTTAATGATAAATACATGTAGTTGAGACCAGAAAAGATATTACATCCTCTGGACACTTCCCCACAGCTCAGGTCTAATACTTTCAAACATGGAATTGAGTTAATTCAGACCAGTGGCCAAACACTCATGTACCTGATTTCTGCATTGAATTGACGCAGTTTCAACACTTTTATGTTTGGATCCTGACCAACCTGACTGCATTAACCTACTAGCATCTGATATTTTGTGCACTCCTTAAATATCAGGAGTTGATTTACTATTGTTGTGACAGGTTAAATAGAATTCATATTCAGTCTAAAGATATTTTTTCTAGATTTCAGTTATTTCTCATACCTCTTTTCTCGCTTCACAATATTATTTATATATTTGAATGGGATACCAGATCTGCATGTAATTTCCCAGAAAGTTCAAGATAAGCATTTTGTTTTTCTAATTTCTCAGTCACAGCCAATATAGTTTCTCATTCTGCTCCTGTAACCTTGCATTCAGGTATATTAAAATCCATTTTATTCTAGTGGGATCAGCTAACCTGATGGTGCAGATCAATCCTGCTACAGTGTTAATACACTGTCAATCTCCGTGTCTTAGCAGCTGTGATTTTACAAGTTGTGAAGGCTTTCAGCTACTACAGTAAAAGAATCATAATAGTAGGGGGGTTACCATTTAAGCAAAACTGTAAAGACTCATTCTTTTGAAAGACTGTAGCACAGATGAGGTATCAGCCCATGAAATCACAATCCTCATACTGTCTTCCTGCAGAGTAATGACTCAGAAACAACCCAATGCAGAGTACGCTCAGGTACCTACTGAAGAAAACATACCTGCAACCACAGTTCCACCAAGCAATGCGACAAATGAGTATCCTAATGTTGAGGAAACAGCAGCATCCGTGGCACCTGAAAATGAGAAGCATGAAGTGGAAAAAGAGGAAATAGCCTAGAGTTCTATATAGTTTTTCTTGTTGGCTTTGTACCCCTTTACATATATAAAAAAAAGTTACTGAATTAGCTGAGCAGCATAACCAAAATTTAAACCTGATTAGTATTGTGAACCACTAAGCAAGAAACTGAAAAGAATCCGTCACATACACAGTTTGTGAATAGCAAACATTTAATTAGCAATCATTTAAGTTTAAGCAATTGTTATTTGGTAATATAAAAATATAAGCCTAAAAACACTATCATCCCCAGTTATCCAACCTATTTTGGCATAGTTATAACATGGTTTGGACACACTAAGAGCTCTTCAATCACCCACTTGTAATGCTGTGTGTGTCCATACAGTTCTGAACCACAACCACCTTCTTCAGAAACAGTGCGGGCCAATGTCTTGGTCCCTGTGCCACAAAAACTACCATCGGGACGGATACTTGACAATGCTCAAAGATCTGGTCTTGCACTTCAGAAATCAACAGAAGTTTCATCAATGTCATCAAGAGACAGGAACAGATTTTGAGGCCTGGTCCAATGAAATTTCACGTCTGAATTCCACTTGAAAAAAAAATCCTGAAATTGTTTACTCTGTTGCTGCCTAACATGGGGTACGTACTGTTAACAGTGCCCTTGTTGGCTTTAAAGTTCCCAAGACACCAGAGCTCTAGAGGTGCAAGTATCAGCTGTTCTTGTTTTCTCTAGCTTAATGAAATCAGCAGTTGAGTACCCAACTTCTCACCCTGACTCACAAGGTTTCCTTCATGTACTTACATAGTACCAGATTCCTCGGCAGCAGGTACAGCTGCTTTCAGAACTCAGAAAGGAGTACTACTACAGCCTGCTGTAACACAGTCGTTTATATTCTTCCCCTTTACTTGAGATAATTTGGATCTATTCTCAGGGAATTTTCCTACTTACTACACAACTCACTTGTGCTACATGTTTACAAGCACAAAAGCCCTGCAAGTTCAACTAGGCTCAGTAGCAGCAGAGAAGGAGGAAGCACAGCCTGCTCCTGTTGGGCTGCCATTTCTTTTCAAAGGTGTTTTCTAATGAAATAATTTGAGCTAATTATTGGGCCAAGGGGGCCCAATACCTGCCTGGCAGCATAGCTAATTTTGAGTAATCGCTGCTCTGGCCCGTCATGGAAAACACATACAATTCTCTTCATAACACTGCTGTTCTAAAACAAACTCATATGTCTTAATCATGTTTTTACTGCCACGACAGCTTTCCAATTTTGAGGCCCCTGTAACAGTATTATCTTGGATAAAGGGGGCAGGTGAAAACATTACATCATCACCATAATCCTTAGTCTTACATAGAAAAATTTCTCTGCACACATTCCTTATATAATTTAGTAAGATAAAGCCTGTGGGCAGTGAAGAAGTAGTTACCTTCTACAGCCTATACAGTTCCTTTAGATGTTCCTAGAATTAAAAGAATAAAGTGAAAAGAGAGGGAATTGCCCAAGTGATGTAAATGCTCCTACATAAACGGAACAGAACTGAATGGCAGTTCTTAACTAACAGTTCCTCCTGCACTTCCAGCCACTATCTTGTAATAGATATAATAAAAAAAACATATACACAAAAAAAGAAAACCCATATACATAAAAAAAATATATATATACAAAGAAAAAAGAAAAAAACACCATACATTGTTGGTGATGCAGAAAGTACACAAAAGAACAAATAGTTACTTGAAGTTTCTTAACATACGGAGATATATCTTAAGTTTTCTGGCAGATGTTTGCTCTCATTATGAAGTTTCTCATGTTAAACAGTTTATCATGATGACGCCCTGTTTCTAGCTTTCTACTGATCTCCTTAGCAAGGAGCAATACAATTAAATATTGATCTGTGGTGTGTAGTTCAAAAACCCTGGAGAGATGTGCAAGATACAGAAGTGTGTTTCAGAATTTACCTCGTGTTTTGACAGCCTTTGCTACAACAGCCCATTTACTTCCTCTTGAGGGAGTAAGGATCATTAATACGGAAAGCAAACATTATCTCAACATTCAAGCCACCATCTCCGTGGGAAGGAGATTTCCAAAGCTAGAAAGGATCAACAGTATTCTGCCTTCAGCTTTTTTTCGATTCAAGTCTTCAGCACTGCTTGCATAATACGCAAGAAAAAAAGATTTAGTAAGTCAAGTGCCTTCTAGCAAGCTCTGCATGGCCACCTCTTAAAAGTCAAGTTTTCTTCCTGTTTTCAGGTACTCTTGGTGAAATTAAATCTGCATTTTGCTTTCTAGGATAGACTTATAGCAATTGATGGCAATGTTTGAAGTTTCTGTCTTGCTTATTGAAGTAAATCATTTTAATGCTTTTGTAGAGAAGTCAGACTATAGAAACTGTCATCTGCTGTTTCAAACCTTCCTTGCAGCTGATGAATGAACATGTCCTGTTTCTGTACAGTGTAATGGATGGCAGTATTTCAGATGACTTGCTCTTATCATCACAAGCATAAGAGTTATTTAGAAAATTCTAGTTTTGTTACATGTAAGTTTAATAAAGTTTTATAACACCAATGACTGCTGTTCAGAAAAATGCTTTTATTTTGCAGATTTTTTTTTAATCTGCATTATCCATTTAAACAAAGGGGAAAATCTAGTCCATGAGTGCACCAAGTGATCTTACCAACATCACAGCAGCAGCTGAACTCACAAAACAAAATAAAAATGCTTGGTATTGATCTTTATGTATTAAGGACTTTAACTCTATTGATAAATGTAAAAATACTGAACTTAACTCCCATTTTTAATAAAACAAAAAAACAGACACAGAACAGAACAGACCTCCACATACACCAATTCAATTGTAAATCACTATTATGGAAGTAAGAGATGAATGTGCAAGTGCTAAGTGGATGAAAGCGTTCAAGATTGTGATTAAGAGCAATGTAAATACTGACTCCACTTACTTCATGCCCAAATAAATTATTATAACCAGAGGTAGAAAAAAAAATTCTCTGGCAAATTATGTGCTAAGAACCTATGTGTAATGATGTTTACTTTCCATTTGATTCCCATGAACAAGTTTTGGGAGAGTTCTACAGCAAGTCATCTACAATCCTGCTTTTTCCCTTAAATCTCAGCTTGGCCTGAAGCACCAACAGCAGGAAAACATTTTCATCATTCTCAAAACAAGATGCTTACTCTTTCTTCAGAAAAAAGATCTTCAGTTTCCTTACTGCTTCAAGAAAACTCGGCTCTAGAGTTTAGAGCTCTTACTATCCTCTGAAAAGAAAGACTTTTCCAGAGGAGAGGTTTCCCCACAGTTGTGACTTACCAGGTACTTAAGAGGTGTTTCTTCCAACTTTAGATTTTTAAAAGCATTAATAACGTGGAAAATTCAAAGGCAGATGATTAAAGAGAAGGCTTTACTATCACTGTAGGTGTCAATTTCTCCTGTAACTGCTGCAAAAGTTTTCACTGCACAAATGTTACAACGCTGAAACAAAATTTTGAGTAAGAGTCTATCAGGTTGAGTCATGTAAAGATTATGGTAAAGGTCATAAAGAAGAGTAAAGCTTATAAAATGCATCTGATTTTATATCAATTTATTACAGTCAAAAACACTCTAATTTTCATAGCTTAATAGCAATATTTGGCTCGACTAAGGATTACCATAGGCTTCAGCTATTAAATAAAAAGGTAAACCACGTAGAAGTCTCGGTACTACATAATGGGAGTCAAGTAGCAATGAAAGAGGTATTTATAAGAAAAGAAAACAGGAAGTACAGTAAGATGCAAGGCATACTTCTGGAAAGTTTCTAGAGCATATTATTATGCAGCAGAATCCTAACTATGAAACTCCACCTACATCCTGCAGGCAGTCCATTAAATGAATATACTTAAAGATTCGCAGAATCAAGATAGGAAGGGATAAGAGAAAAGTGTAAAGGGCTCAGCCCAAAAGACTGACAAGAGTAAAAATAGGCAGAACTAGAAGTACCTGTGCCAACAGCGTACTATAAAGCGAGAAAAGTAATTTAGAATCATCTGAAGGAAAGTAATCAGCACCTATAAAAACGAGCAAACACAGAGATTAAGGGAATGCAAAGTCAACTCTAGAATAAGTTTCCCTAATAAAAACTTGTTTTAAGAGGTTAAAGCATTTTTGATTCTGTTGCTCAAGAGGCACAATCTTACATGAGGCTCTGAAAACAGAAGAAATGACCTAATTAATACAGATCATACTGTAAATCAAAAAACTGCAAGATACTGGAAAAAATACTTTAAAAGCAGTACTTCTGTCAATTAAACAGATCACAAGTGGCTGTTTGGGCAGCGGAGTTGAAGAAATCGAGGTACACGTTTTATTATCATGGCGATGCTCATATATGACAGCATAGTTGAACACTGAAAATACGAAGCTTCCAGTCTTAAGTGCAACAGGAAAGAGTCAAGTGCGAAGTCCCCACTAGCCTTCGACCATTCGCTTAAGTATGGCTCCCAGGCCACCTTTGGCCACTTTCAGTGGGGTCAGTTCTTCTTTATTCTCAATGTGAATACTTGCACCGTGAGACACCAGCAGCTTTGCCTCATCCACTCTTTCTTCATCGCAGGCTAAATGACTGCAATAAGAAGAAACCCACAACCACTATTAAATAGCTCAAGCTTAGAAAGAACAATAATCATGCCTTGTTAAAATGACAGTCTGAGTGCTGGAGATGTAGAAAGAAAAAGATTTATGAAGCAACAAAAATCAACATGCAACCAACTTTCTCCACAGACTTCAAAGTCTACTATCCAGTCAGTTTGTTGTCATTAAGCAACTCAAGACCATTCCTCATTCTGTTATCTTCACAAAATTAAAACATTTATCTAGATCAGCATTTGGCTCTGCAGACAGCAAAGCTAAGGAGCAAAAGCTGATTCATGGTGAATTTGAAAATGGTAATATCTATGTGAATTAGAAAAGATGAACTAAATCAAATGCTCAACAAAAATATGAAATAATTAGTGAAATGTGAAACTTTTTTCCCATTTGACATTGAATTTTCAGTACACCATGCGTTCTAGAAAACCAGACAAGATTCTGCCACCAATTTCAAAACACCTAAGATTCCATCCCTAAAGGTTTAAAACAATTTGCAAGATGACAAGAAAAACTGAACCAAATGCATTTAAATTTCAACTTATTTTGCACAGAGAGATGAGGAAAAGCTTTCATAATTAGTTCTTGCTTGTCAAGATTGAACAGACCAGCCTGCAAGTCCAGGTTCCTCCAGTGTTGATCTTATTAGTAGGTTTTCTATCCTCTAGTGGCAAATGACTGAATCCAATTTATAAAAGGCTATTTTAAGTTTAAATAGATACAGTAACACAAAATATGTATGTACACACCCTTCTGCAAAACACTGATTATGGTTCCCCCAAATCCTTTATAGCTATATAAGGATATGAAACACGGAACATTCTAGAGGAAAGAAATGTCAAAAAAAAGCTTGCAAATGAAGTAAGGACTAAAATAATGGAATTTGGGTTTCAGAGAGATCAGTGAGCAATCAAAATTGACATGAAAGTAACTTACAGAGGAGTATTCCCTTCTGAGTCCTGTATATTAACAGACGCATTGTGCCGCAGAAGTATCTGTATCATTTTCAGGTTTCCTTTGGCTGCCGCTCTGTGTAGTGGGGTGGACTCAAAATGATCTGTTGCATCTGGGTTAGCTCCATTCTCTAAAAGCATAATTGCAATCTGAACACAGAGGAGGAAAGAGAGGGGAAAAGAAGGGATAAAGGTTAACCTAGCCAAGCTCTTCCCCGCCAGCTGCGGGGGCGTGGGGCCAGCCCTACCTCCTGCTTGTTTTTGGAGGCGGCGTAGTGCAGGGGCGTGCAGCCGTTCTGGTTGGTGACGTTCACCTGCGCCCCCTTGTCGATGAGGGCTTTGACGATTTCATCCCGGCCCGCCGAGGCCGCGATGTGCAGCGGGGTCCAGCCGGCCTGCAGGACACAGGTTATCCAGAGATACATTACCCCAACATTATCCACACCCGGAGCTCCGGGAGGAGAGCAGCACGAGGCCCCAGCACACAGCTCCATGGGCCCCGCTGGCAGCGCCAGCGCCGCCGTTCCCTCCATTAGCCACTCACGTCGTCCTTGTCGCCCACGGGCACGCCGAGGCCGAGCAAGAGGTCGGCAACGGCGCCGTGTCCGGCGGAGCAGGCCCAGTGCAGCGCGGTGCGACGGTCCTGCGCGAGAGGAGAGCACCGTGAGGCCACGGGCGCCCGCCCGGGACGGAGGGACGCGCGACGGGGCCGCCCCGCGCCGCCCGCCCCCCACCGAGGCGCTCACCTGGTCGGGGCGCGTGGCCAGCGCGCGGTCGCGCTGCAGGCGGTCACGCAGCTCGTCCAGGCGCCCGCCATAGGCCAGGTTACAGACCTCCACGTCCGACACGGAGCCCTCCATCTTGCCGCCGCCGCCTCCTCGCCCTGCCGACAGGGGCGGTGCTATCACCGCCCCGCCGGCCAATCGCAGCCGCGCCGCTGCCCTGAGCCGGCCAATGGGCGCGGGCGTTCGCAGCATGCTGGGATCTGCAGTCCTTCCGGCGCGCGGGGCGGCGGGAGGCGGTGCCCGCGGGACTACGATTCCCAGCGTGCCCCGCGCGCCGCGCCGGGCGAGGAGGAGGATGGTGACAGCGGGAGGATGGAGTCCGGTGAGGGGCGGCGGCGCGGGGCCGGCGGCGGGGGGCGAGGGACCGGTGCGCGGGGCGGCCGTTGCGGCCGTTACAGCCGTTGGGGCGGCGGCGACAGCGCAGGGCGGGCGGCGGCGGCGGCTCTGCGGGACCCCCGCGGCTCCGCAGCCTGGCAGAGGCCGCAGCTCCGTGCCCGGGCCGGGCTGCGGGGCCGCGCCGCCCCGCTCCCCTTCCTCCCCGGGCAACGGCTGCTCCCCGGGGCAGAGGCAGCTCGGAGGCGCCGGCGCTGCCGCGGCTTGCCGGGCCCCGGGCGCTCCGTCCGAAGGGAGCGCGCCTGCATTTCGCCCGGTTGTCATCGTGGGTATTTTTAGCAGAAGTTGTGGCCTTTTGTATATTTAGCTGGTGATTTATCTGCTCGTTATACTGTGTATTTTTGCACTTAGTCGAATAGTAAGACACAATTGAGTTCGCTTTTGCATCCAATATCTGGTTCTTTGGCCACCTATTTCCTTAGTTTATGTTACTTTAAAGAAATAAATGATTTTCTGTTCATTTTTACAACTGAAGGTTTGTTTCACTTCCAGCAAACCCTGCCCTAATTATGTAATTGATTGAACTGTTGTCAACTGCTGTACTGTCATTTACTGTTTTACTGTAAATAGATCTAAGTTGAATAATAACATTAATACCTTTTTTTTTTTTTTTTCTTTTTCCCTGAAATGTTTCACATTCCTGCTTGGGAAAGTAAACCAAGGTCTTGCTAACACTTTTCACATGCTTCACATCATGTCAGCAATATTAGTCTCTTGGAATTCGCTGAGGATCAGAAAAAAAAAAAGAAAACAACCAAACCTTTGGGTATTTCAGTGGCAGCACATGTTATTAAAGGAAAAGAGTAAATGCAGCTGGTAGAATAATTCAGAAGCCCAGCTAGTCCAGTCTGACTACTCAGTGTTGTGCATAAGACCTAAGGGAGTTTGAATTTTGTATATTCCTGTTCAGTTTTGTCTAGGTATGAAAACCAAATCACTATTTTATCAGACTACTTAGAAGAATTTCCGGAAACTGATGAACCAGTTTGGATTCTGGGAAGGCAACACCACCTAAAAGCAGGTATCCTTTAAAAGGAAAATTCCTCAGTAAAATCCATAGAGCATTCATCATTTCACATGCAACTGCAGCTCCTTGTATCTTCTGTTCACTGACTGTGTCTTGTGTTCCTAATAGGAAACAAGGAGTTTTCCAAGAGACTTTCTCTAGCGGTTTGCGCAAAGAGATTGCTCTTGTGACAAAGGCTGGTCACGAGGGAGCTTGCTTCTAGTAATGTTTTGCTTCAGAAAAAAAAGAAAAAAAAAAAAGAATAAGTCTGGTGGAAAATTCAGTTTTACTAGTGTTATATCCCTTGAGGGGTACTGACTATGGCCTGTCCCTTCCGTTGAGGACATCATCTTGTGTCCATGTCAAAGATAGTGGCTGTCAATCCAGGCAGGGTATTGGCTGAAGGTTCCTGAGGTCAGTCAGTCTGACCCACACTTAAGAAAAGATGCAGTAAATAAGATCTTTAAGAATTCTTGAGAGCCTTTGAGAGATTTCTGTTAGTTTATATTAAAAAGAAATTATATTTTATAGTTAGATTTATTATTAACATTTTCTAAAAATGGCATAATATTGGGTTCAGAAGTCATGTGTAATTTCACATTCCTTTGCATGTAGAAATTCTTTAGCTTTCTTAACTTGCTTTACTGGTTCTTTCCAGACATAATTCTTCATAGTTGTTTCATTCAGTCTTGCCATAGTTAATTCCAAACACTATAAAAGTCTTCATTGGCTAATATTTATTGTTTTAATTAACTTTCTAAATTTCTAAATTTAATTAACTTTCTAAAAGTTCTTTCAGTATTAAAATGGCTAGAAGCAAGTTTCAGTATTAAAATGGCTAGAAGCAAGTTTTAAGTATTAAGGGATTTTAAATGGAAGAGCTAACAGGAATCTTCTGTGCTTTCTGTGTACTGAATATATAGAAGAAATTAAGTTCTTTTTTCAGTCTTAGAAAGTTTTTTAATAACTTATTTACTTTTCAAAATGTTACAGACAAATCTAAATTATTGGTGGATATAAGTGCTCGTCTCTGGTTTACATATAGAAGAAAGTTTTCACCTATTGGTGAGTATAGTGCAGAACTGCTGCCTTGTTACAAATTACATTGCAGGATTAATGATGTTATCATGCACTGAAAAAATGATTTTTACAATGTTAAAGGATTTTGAGTGTTAATCATTATTAAAACCACGTTTACTGTACCTGTAGATAATCAGGTCTTTGTGTAGCAAACAGTAAATAGTTACTTTAAGAATGAAAACCAAGTCAGCTGTACGAGGAATAAATTGAATAGGTTTACTTATGCAATTTAGAAATTAGAAGTTAGACCAACAGTGATGGTCTTACATAGTGCCTTTTATCCATAGCATAGTTCTTGGAGATTGTCAGCTGGCTAGCTGTATTCTAGTGCTCCAAAACTTTCTCTGGGGTGCTATGCTCAATTTAAAGACCATGTTGTAATGAACTTTTCTTATCAGGTGGCACTGGTCCTTCATCTGATGCTGGCTGGGGATGTATGCTGCGATGCGGACAAATGATGTTGGCACAAGCACTGATCTGCAGACATTTAGGAAGAGGTGAGTGCTGTTCCTGAATGTACCTTTGAATAGACAAACCATGAATTATAGGAATAATAAATTATTTCCTAGAATAAATTGTATGCAAATCCTTTGATATCTCACTATATGGCTTTCTACTGGTCTCTAGCAATTTTGATGGAAGTGATGGAATCATTATTATTTTCTAATCCTCATTACTTTTTCTCATAAGATTGGCAGTGGGAGAAACACAAAAAACAGCCAGAAGAATATCACAGAATCTTACGATGCTTTTTAGATAGGAAGGATTGCTGTTATTCTATCCACCAGATGGGTAAGAACACGTATCACCTTTTTGTTTTACTACTGAAATTTCTAATGTTGAAACCTGCTAGTTTTATAATACATTAATTCATAATTTTTAAATTGTGATTATTAAGTATATACAACTTTATATAGAAGTGAAAATGCATGCAGATGAGTAGAAAGTAAAAGAGAACATGCGTTTTATTCTCTGAGATGTAAATAAAGTCATATACTAGTTTTTGATAAAGTATATAAATCATGTATATCAAACTAATTAATACTGATGTAGACATTCTTGTAGGTTACAGCTGCATTTTGTAATACACATCACTAATATTTGTAATTTTTAGGTAGTTTATAAGCTGTTTGTTTGTTAGAGGAACTAGCAGTCATGAAGTCTTGAAAAGAGCATAGATTGAGAAAGCAGTTATTGCTAAATAGAGTTTGTAATTGCTGTATGACAACACTCTTTAATATACATTGTTACCAGACTCTTTGTGGTCTTTTTTCCTGTGTGTTTGCCTGTGTGTGTGTGTTTGCCCGCATGAAAACAGCGCAGATGGGTGTTGGAGAGGGGAAATCAATTGGAGAATGGTTTGGACCAAATACAGTTGCTCAAGTACTAAAGTAAGTCAAATCTTACTGGCTCATTCAGAACGTACTTGCCCTGCACCGCGTAACTGGGGAGAGGCTGGGTATCCCTGAGGGGCTGCGCTTGTCTCTGAGTAGGAAGGTACACATGGAGTATGTGGTTACACAGAGGGTGAGGACTGTAACACTGTAGCTCAGCGGGCAAGTGCTACAACTCACTAATATTAGACCACTGGTATGAAACATGAGAATGAAGCTGGAGAGGCTGAGGAGGGAACTTGTATTTCTCACCTTCTGAATAGCTCTTCTGCCTAACAAGGCAGTTGTACAGTAGGCTACATTTAAAACAACAAGCTCAATTTTGTGCAGTTCTCTGAAGGATGATTTAGAAGTGTCTAACCTCAACTCCAGGTCCCAAGTGGTCAGCAGCATGTTTGCAACTCAGGGTCAGCTTCACATTCTAGATAAAGAAGCTAAAACATGCCCTGGCCTCCAGCTCTGTTCACTAACAAGTTCTTCATGGCCTCACATACAGGTTTTTCTGGCTAATTTTAGACACCTGACTCTGCCTGTGCAATTTAGGCAGTAGAGCTGCCTTCTGTAGTTTTGGATTTCACATACATGGACAGACATGTCTGTGCTATAACACCTCTCTCCTAATTGCTAGGTGTGCAAAACCTTCAGCAGATTGTGCTTTTAATGCCCTGTTCTGCTGTCCAGAATGCACAGTGGTAGTTCCACTGAACTTAGTGGAACTTCTTATGCAAAAAGAATGTGAAAAATGATGGAAAGTTCTGGAGAAGGAATATTTCCCTTTTCTGTGCAATGCCAGACACAATGTGCAAGTTCCTACAGCTGACACTCTTAAGTGCTATAAAAAGTAATAAACTTTATTATATATCTGAGCTCAATGTAATTGGCAGTGGGACAAAGCAGTTTGCACATGGTGTCTATTCTTCTTCTGGAAATATCTAGTAAATATATTTAAACCTATCTTTTAATTTCATTGGGATGCCCAAAAATCCAGCACGTTCTTCCTAAGAAATAGTTTGGCTTTATTCAAGAGCCATTAAATCGTCCTGAGTACAAAGCTAGCTCTTGGTATTAATTAATTTATAATAGTTATTACCTTACTGTTTTCTAGGAAGCTTGCTTTATTTGATGAGTGGAATTCATTAGCGGTTTATGTATCTATGGATAACACAGTGGTCATTGAAGACATCAGTAAGTGAAACATCTGTCCTCTCA